TTGTGAGTCACTTTCACCTTCATTCTTTTGAAGTGCATAACTCACGTCAATTGGAGTCTTGGCAATTTTGAAATCCAAATACTTGAACTTGTCAAGTACCTTTTCAATATAGTGAGACTGTGATAATGCTAGACCTTGTGGAGTCTTGTGAATTCTGATTCCTAAGATCACATCAGCAACTCCTAAGTCTTTCATATCGAATTTGCTAGCCAACATGCGCTTAGTAGCATTTATATCTGTCATGTTTTTGCTCATTATCAACATGTCATCAACATATAAACAAACAATGATTTCATGACTTGGAGTGTTTTTAATGTAAACACATTTGTCGCACTCATTGATTTTAAACCCTCAAATTTGGCATGCCATTGTTTGGGTGCTTGTTTAAGTCCATAAAGCGACTTAACAAGTTTGCACACTTTCTTTTCTTTACTAGGAACCACAAAACCCTCAGGTTGTTCCATGTAAATCTCTTCCTCTAATTCTCCATTTAAGAAAGCTGTTTTAACATCCATTTGATGGATTTCAAGACAATACACGGCCGCTAGTGCCACTAACACCCTAATGGATTTAAAATAATTCGGGAAAGAAAACGGGCCTGACCGGACCGGGTCGCGGGTTATGGGTTATTCCGGATTGAATTTTTCGTTAATTATTTAATTAATTAATTAAATAATTGAAAGGAATTTTGTCCAAAAAGATTAATCAATCGATCGATCCGAAGCCGAAGCCGAGCGAGCGACGACGACGACGACGGCGCGAGGCTTGCCTTCTTCTTAACTCTTTAAGAGCTAGAAGAAGAGCAATTATATATATACCCATCAAAAGCCTTTTCTTCCTCTAATATGGGACAATGTCCCTTTGTCAAGGAGGGAAACTCAAATATTTTATTTTTTCCTCTATTTTTCATTCACCCTCTTTAAGCTACACAAGCTTAAAATCCCAACATTATCTACTTAATTATGTGGTCAACACTACCCCTCACGTATTGTCCTGATTCTTTTCAATGGGCCAAGTACATGGAAATTCTTTTGCTTAATTGGGTGGCTGTGAGTGATACTTGAACTTAGGACCTCTTCCTGCTTTGGTATCATTTTGAAGTGTGTGATCATTTCATCTAAATGCTTAAGTTTGTAGAGAGAGAAAAGTGATGCTATAAAGAATAAAAAAATCAACCTGTCCTGTATGCAATTGGAAGTGGCATACTGATCTTCTGCCAAAAAAAAAGCAACACCTATAAACATGGTGCTTTTAAAAGTACTTTTCTTCCTTGTTCCTAATGAAATCCTACAACCATGATGACTAAGTTATTGGATCAAGTAGATTCAAGTATGCCTTTTGAACTTGGTCCTGCTTTTTGTATGCTTCTTGTACTATATTTCCACTTCATATGAGGTATTTATGATGAATTTACCGGTTTTATAGGTGGCTCCACCTTCTGCTGTACCTGCTTCAATGCAACCACCTAGGATGTTTGGGATGATGCCGCCACTTTCAAATCAAGCAGAGACTGCAATAATTCCTTCTATGGGTTATGCTGGATCTGCATTAACTGGGCAATCAAACATTGATTCCGATCAAGTTCCGCGCCCAATTCCAAATTCTGCAGTAATCCTGCACGCAACTCGTCAAGGCAACCAAGCCAACCCCCCTCCGGTAAATTATATCTTAGTTGCAGGAAATAAATTGTTTTGCTTCAAAGTATTGTTTACGGTTTCCAGGGATTGTGTTTATTGCCTTATGAGCTGTGCTTTTCCGTAAATAATAATCCTAGTGTATTGTAAAGGTTCATATAAATTTACTATAAGAAAAAAGAAGCCAAGGTTCATATCAATTGAAGTTTCTTTTCCTTATTCTTTTTCTAATGTCCTTCTATTTCCCGTCTCTCTTGAAGCCTGCCACCAGTGACTACATCGTTAGGGATACTGGAAATTGCAGCCCACGGTACATGAGGTGTACTATTAATCAGGTGCATCATCTTCACTATATTTTTGTGTATCTGTACATTACCATTCCATCTAATGGATTTTGTGTATTTATACCTTCTCTTGTTCCTTGGGAAGTGCATGCTTGTTGACCAAAAAATTCTGACCATGGGAACTGATAGTAGATGATTGGTCCTTGTTGTTTGTTCAACAGATTCCATGCACCGTTGACCTTTTGACGACCTCTGCAATGCAGTTGGCTTTGTTGGTCCAACCTTTTGCTCTTCCTCATCCGTGTGAAGAGCCCATTGAAGTAATTCACCCTTTCTCCTTGTGAACATTTTTCTTGCCAGACATTTCATATTTATCTTGTTTCCTTTTGTTAGGCTTCTAGCATATTATTTCCTCGATATTTGAGTCTCATATGTAAGTTTTCAAGTTCCTTCTATGTTGATCAGAGCCATCCATCCATGCTAAAAGAACATTAACATGTGTTGAAAGAGTTAATTAGTTATTCAACATTAGTTGTTGCATTTGATATGTCAGCCCTAGTGTTTAGTGCTATTAGGCGGGAAGAAATTGCTTGAAGCAGGTGGTGGGACTAAAGATGCATCTTATGCTATACGGGCAAAGAACTGTAGTTAGTCAAAGAGTTAAAAGAGATCTATTGGCGGTGGGAAGAAGGCTAGGGAAATGCTCATATATCACAGAAAGAGAGAGGAGAGCTGAAATAAGACAGTTAACATGACAATTAACTAGTCTGTAACATTGCTGGAACTAAAGAAACACCTTTTAGTGCAAGTTTTTGCTTATATGAGATGGTAGTGAAATTTGTGGATGATGCTAGTTTGGTGGATGATTAGTTTGATCTCTTTGGTTTTGGTTGGCATACTTGACTAGCTTTATGATATATTTCATATATTGTGTCAATGAAAATCCTCCTAGGTGCTAGTGGGATGCTTTTTCCCATGTTCTTTTTGTGACTATAACAGGGATAAAATTGAGTAGCAGGTAGACCTTATGGAATTGTGTGAAGTATCAACTGAATTTTGTATGCTTCTTACATATTTTGGTTTATGGCTACTCCTTATTGTGACCATTAGGAGGAAAACAGCTGTTATTGGGTTCTCGTTGCTTACGTTAAGTGAGAAAATACTTGTGTTGGTGTCTTTACTTTCTTCTCACATGACATGTTGCATTGTTTGATAGGTTGTTGATTTTGGGGAAAGTGGTCCTGTTCGTNCTGTTATTGGGTTCTCGTTGCTTAAGTTAAGTGAGAAAATACTTGTGTTGCTGTCTTTACTTTGTTCTCACATGACATGTTGCATTGTTTGATAGGTTGTTGATTTTGGCCAAGGTGGTCCTGTTCGCTGCTTTCGTTGCAAAGGCTACATAAATCCTTTTGTGAAGTTCATTGATCAGGGAAGACGTTTCACTTGTAACTTATGTGGTATGAATAAATTCTTTTCTGCCAAACTTAATACTTGGAGTTCAGAGCATGCTTATTGATAAACTTAGTCAGACTCGTATCCTTGTCCTAGGGGGCGTGGACACAGACTCGGACAAGGATACGAGTCTGACATGTGTGCATGACAACATGTAAGAAATATAGGATATGAAACGGCAAACATTGAAACAAGAATTTTCTTGTCCTAAGTTCTGCTCGAATTAGACTTATTAATAAATTAGCTTTCTAAAGAACATTCTTCTTTATCAACTGACCTCACGTGAATCATCATTCTTTGCATTTCACGAGACAAAAGAGAGTAAAGTATCCTGAAATATAATGTACTTTGTTGACACACTTGAGGCATATTAATGAGTCCCACTGCAGTAGTCATACCAAGGAGGAACTTTTTGGGCACTTGTCTTGTATTAGAAGATTGATTCTAGTGTTAAGTACTTAAGCATACATTTGACGATCTCATTCTCTGGAAAACATTTTTTGGTTATAAATTGGCAGCAGAAGTTTATAGATTCAACAGCTGGTTTGATGTTTGAGGATTATTTGGTGGTTGGATTGGCGCAAAACATAATGGGCTGATTGCCTGTATTAGTGCGAGTTATTAAAGTATTATTCTGGGCTGGGTGAACAGTATTACCGTACCCTGAACATCACAATGGCTGATTCCCTGTATTGTTGCTATGATGTAGTGGCATAACAGCCATATAGGAAAAGTGATGTAGTGGTAGAAGGAAAAATTGGATTTCAAGGACTGGTGGGAACAGAGGCTGGACATGGTCTACCCTTAGATAAAGAATGAGCAATTCAGCTGCAGAGAACTGGAGAACAGTGATAAGGAAGATGTCTAAGAAATCCACCTAAAACTTCTCTTGGAATACCACAGCAAGGCTGCATAAAGCAGTAGAAATGACAAAAGCTTAATCAAGAGGACAATAAAAGTTGGACATAATTTCTCCAAACTCTTGAATCAAAAGTGTATTTCCTAGTACGGTTACAACTAAAGAAAAAGAAAAACTCTTAAATGCCTCCTGTTTTGGGTTTCTAGTGAGTTTCTCTTGCTTCCACTCAATTAACAGTGCAAGATGCATCTTATTTCCAAACTCACTTTTCCTTTTAGATAAGTATGACTCCAATATAGCAGGAAACCATAGAATTTCATGATTAAAAACTGGCATTGTGCTTTTCATAGTGCAATGAATCCTAAAAGATAAGAAACACACTAATAGCTGCAACTGATAAAATTAAGACAGAATCTGAACATGAAAATTCTTACCAATTCCCAATATTGAAGTTTGAATGAAATTGTGAAGTTTTTAATTTTCCATATGCTTGACATCTTTTTTGCAGGATATACCAATGAAACTCCACGTGATTATCACTGCAACTTAGGTCCAGATGGCAGGCGTAGAGATGCTGATGAAAGGCCAGAACTATGCCGAGGAACTGTTGAATTTGTAGCTACTAAGGAATATACGGTTGGTGACCTTTTGTTGGATTTTGATATGGTGGTATGATTGGATAAGTTTATTGATGTAGAGTCATTTGAAATTTACATTCCAAGCTTGCACACCTTGATTAGTGGCATGGTTGGATGAGTTTATTGAAGTAGAACCGTCTTTAAAATGAACACCAAGCAAAGGGTTATCATTCACTTAAGAGAGCAAAGAGCTTTCAACTGCTATCTAGATTTGTTTTGATATTTAGGGAAGTTTGCACGTCACCTAGTGCTTATATCCATTGGAAATGTTTGCTAACGTATGGTTTTTCATCAGTAGTTCATTAGTATGTATGTGCTGTTCTATTGCTAGTTTAACCTATTTAAGAGGAACGGAGTTTTATATCGATAGTCATCTTGAACTTCTTATCTTCTTCAATAGGCTTGAGGAGGAAACAGTTCTGCTCTAATAATTCTTTTAAGTAATACTTACTAAGATTTAAACTAATGCAAATAATTATGTGAAGAGAGAAAAGAGGAAGGTAGGGACAAGGCAAAGGGATATACTACATTGTGGCTGATTTGTCAAGTTGCTGGTCCGAGATGCAAGATCTGTGGACAGCAAAAGGGATTGGTGGTTGTGGTGATGGGTTGAACACGTTTAATTCTATTTTGACTGAGATGTTTATTGATAGACAATCAATCATGCTTTTAGCTCAAGACTACTCTTTGTTTATGGTTTTTCAATCAGCTTACAATTATGGATGCACTTCTTGTTCTTGGTGCAGTGATTTTCCTTGATATAGGCTGTTAATGTTTTTGATTTTTCAAGTGATAACTTGGAAATTTTGTTTCAGCTGCGCGATCCGATGCCTGCTGTATATTTCTTCCTTATTGATGTCTCCATGAATGCCATACAAACTGGTGCAACTGCAGCTGCTTGCAGTGCAATAAGCCAAGTTATTTCTGATCTTCCTGTAAGTCTGTTGGTTTATTATTGGTTATTTAGTTCATTAATTGACAATGTCTTTACATTAAGGACAGATTAGGATATGTGTTCCTGTCTTTTTGAGTGGAAATCCTTTTGAAACAACTTCATTATCATATTAAATTTGTTGAAGTGGCTGGAAGTTCAGTGTTAATATAAACATGTACAAGCTACTAGTTTTTCCGTTCTATCCTTTGAGATGTTGATATCGGTTTCTGAGCTTTTTGACTTGAGGAAATTCAAGTTTGTCTTAAGTCCTTTATGATATGGTGTGGTGAACCTCGATTTATTGGGCAGAATGTGTAATTGAGGTCTGCATTGAGTGCGTTTCTATGAGGGAGAGGTGTTTCACAAAGGAACTTTCTGTGGGATGCGGCGGATGGAACTAGAAAGTTTCATCTAGTGAATTGGCAGACAGTCACTTCCCCAAAGAAGTGGGGTGGACTTGGAGTGAAAGATTTTAGGGTATTTAACAGAGCTTTAATGGGAAAGTGGCTGTGGAGATTCGGGGTAGAAGAGCATGCTCTATGGAGGGAGGTCATAGTAGAAAAGTACGATTCAACGGGAGGGGGTTGGAGGACCAAGGCGATCACAACACCTTTCGGGTGTGGCATGTGGAGGAGTATCATGAAGAATTGAGAAGCATTCAGTGGCAATATCACTTACAGGGTGGGAGATGGAAGGAGAATCAGCTTTTGGAATCATCATAGGTGGTGTGGAGAGGATACTCTGAGGGTCTCCTTCCCCCACGTCTTCAGAGTTTCAAACCAGAAGGAACTGATGGTCCAACAGATTCGCAAGGAGCATGAAGGGGGTAGTATGGGACTTCTCATTCAGGAGGAACATGCAAGATTGGGAGATTGCGGAGCTCCAAGTTTTGTTGGCACTGCTATACGGGCAAGACAGGNGGAGCTTCAAGTTTTGTTGGCACTGCTATACGGGCAAGACATGCTCCAGCCATCCTGCGACTCTTGGAGATGGGGCTTGCGTGGCGATGGTTTGTTCACCGTAAAGTCCTTTTACCCGAGTATGTTGGTGAGAGAGGAGACCACTTTTCCATAATCCTCGATCTGGATTCCTAGGGCGCCCACGAAGGTGTGCTTTTTTGCATGGCTAGCGGCAAGG